CTGGGAAAAGAGACCCAGAAGAAGAAATGGAAAATTATTCTTCTAGAATTAATGTGCCAATAAACATATAAAAATTTTATGCTTTAAGGAGACAATTAACCAGTTTTATGACCTTGTGTCCTGGCCTTGAAGGTCAGATTGGAGGGGGTTCTGAGTAACCTGTTTAGTGGATGATGTCCCACTAAATGTCCCCTAGATGTCCCTGTCCACGGCAGAGTTTTGGAATTGGATGATCATTAAGGTCCCTCACAATCCAAGCCATTCTAGGATTCCATAACCCTGGTTCTTGACATCTCTCATGACCTTGCAACAATGCCTACAAGAACAGATATTTATTTTGATAGCTCAGTCAGCACTGTGACCCTTATTTGTGCTGGAAGACCCTTATCAAGCAGTTGGTCTGAAATGTTTTTTTTTCTCCAGCTGGTACTCTGATATATCCTGCAACAGCTCCACACCAGTAAAATGTCTTCATGTTCTGGGCATCCCTGCCTAATTCTAGAGCTACACTGGAGATCTTGCAGCTGAACTCACCCACAGCATGACAGCAGTAAATCAGATATGGGAGCCTGTGCATGTCAGACACAAAGGAGACACATGAGGGTGAGTGCTGTAGGTGTAAAACCTTTCACTGTGCACAGCTGAGACGAGGGGATAACTCAAAATACAAAAAAAAAAAAAAAACCAAAAAAAAAAAAAAACCCCAAAAAAAAAGGGCAGCCCAAGCAAGTGCTAATCATCCATTTCCTTTTTGCACTCTATTAGTCTGTCAGCTGATGTATAGTTAAATGGTTGGAGGCTGGTGCTGTTTATCCTCTCCACACCACCTTTCTCTATCCTTCTCTGTGAATCCATTTGAAAAGCCCAGAAATATTTCTGAAACATTTTTCTCCATATTTTTTCAATGCAAAATAGTATTTTCAATGGAGAAATAACTTTCCACTGAGAACAATTTTGCATCTTGGTAGCTCCTAGGTCAGTAAATTATATTTTATATCCTACTGAGAGGAAAAAAAATATCACATTTTAACCAAAGATAAAGTCAAATTTCTTCTCCTATGACTTCCAGAAAATAAAGTTCTGTAGATTTTTATATACAGAAGACAAAAATAATGGCCCAGGCTGAATATGGCTTATTCATGGCCTCAAGCCAAGAAAAATATAAAAGGAAAATTTTAAGGATTAAATTTGAGAGATGAAGAAGAAATTCACAAGAGGAAAACTTATTTTAAATGGCAATTGAATGATATTTTTTCTAGGTTTGAAATATTCCAATTATTCTGGGAAGAAAGGTTAAAGGACATCAAGCTGATTATGTAGTCAAAGGTAATATGAATTTATTGCATGGATATCCATAACTCATGAATAGTATATTTACTAGGCAGAGCCTAGTTTTTCCTTTCCATTTGACTTCAAAATACAGAAAAGTCAGTGTCAGTGTTGATGGTAACATTTGCACCCAGCTGCTGTGAATTTACAGATGGAACAACAGTGTCAAAAACCCCCTATGAATATGAAATACATTTTTCAATTGAAAATATTGATGTATTTCTTTTTGGTGCCTTTAAAGAAATGCTAACACATTAGATGACATAATTTAAGAAAAGTCTTGAGAAAAAAAGAGAGAGGTTTTAAAGAAAAGAGGCAGAAAAAAAAGTCAAGGTTTGTCCTATCAAAAAGGAGGGACGAGTTGAGGTGAAAGCAGGGAGAAGAGCAACTTTGAGGATTTTTCTGTCAATATCAATGAACCACAGAGCTGAGTGATCGACAGTGCAAGTTTGGTCTTCTGACACAATGTAAAATATGAACAGATGGAAAATTTGGGAGGAGAGAAAGAACAGATTTCTGAAGGAGCACTTAAGCTTGAATTTCACAGAGTGAACATCAGACACCTTAGGGCAGGATGGTGGGGTGACTTAGCAGAGTGGCAAGCCAGAAGAATGATTTTACTGGTTGGTTTTGGAGACTGTGGGATACTCTATGTGATTTAGAAATTGGAAGAATATAAGAAGAGCTCTACAGAGTTAGACCAATGTTGCACTTAGTCCCTAATCTTGACTTCATTAATAGGTAATGAAACACTCCTAGAAAAAAACAGAGTGAATCTACAGTTAAGCTCTCCAGAATAACCTCCCTTGCTCCAATAATTTTTTTTTTTTTTGTTCCTAGATGAGAGGATGGTATTTAACAACCTTCAGTAGATTTCTCCCTCATGAAATGTACAATTTCTTTTTGAATTAACACAAGCTGATCCTGTAGCAAGTTTCAAAACTTTGCCATATTGTGCAGAAAAAGCAACTCCTTCTACATATTTGGTACTTATTCATTTTACTTGATGACCCCTAATATCCTTACTAGGCTAGACAGCAATCCTTCCTTGTTCTGACTCTCCATATCACCCATTATTTAATTAAGCCTCTATCGTAGTCCTCCTCAGTCTTTGTTTCTTGCAGGATGAGGTGTAGCTCATTTGCTTGACCTTCATGTGAAAACCTTCTCAAAATTCTAATTATCCCTGCCAGTCTTCTCTGTTCCTTTGCAAATTTCAATTTATTCATATTGAGGTAGGGAATTGTCCGGGAAGCAATAAAGGCAGGAGTTATGATTTGCTCCTGCAGTGACTTACTGCTCTGGTCTCAGTTATTTTCCTCATAATTGCAACATGCTCTTGTCTTTGCTGCTGAGCATTTCATGGACCTACCTACTGTAATCCCAACATCTTCTAACAACTGGGTCAAAATTTGTCATTCTGAGTATATATTTTATACTTATTGATAAGGAATTTCATCTGCAGTTTTGTTTCCTCCTTCAGTGTCCTTAAGGCTTTCTGTCTCTATGTACAGTTGGTTGATCTCTCTTCTAACATTAATGATTTACTATTGATTTAGCATTAATGATTTACTATTGATGCCTGGAGGGGCCACCTAGAACAGAGGTTAGGCAGTGTTAGAGGAATAAAGCAGGTATTTATTAAAAAGGCCTTCAAAGGACACACCTCGGGCAGCACAAGAGCGTGGCCATGGCTCTGCCCAAATGGACCCCAAGTCAGGAGTTTTCATACTTTTATAAGTTTTGGTCCATTTACATATTGGGGTTAATTGTCCAATTGCAGCTGCAGGTTATTAAGTCCCACTACCCCAGATTGCTCCCCCTGGTTTACTGTTATTCATATATTTTGGGCTTGAAGCTGCAATGGTGTCCTTGGTTTTCAGGCTGGAAAAGGATTGTTTTGTCTGACTAAACTGTGAGGAGAACTTGCTAACACTTTATATGAAGTTCAGAGTTACACACTAATGCAGTACAGAATCTGTAAAATACGAAAGTTAAAACTTAAGGCAGCACTAGTATTAGATCATTTTGCCTTGTTATTCAGTTAGTTTTCTAGGACAAGATCTGCTCCCACCAACTGCAGTGAGAATCCACAGGTGACTTCTGACCACTGTGAAGCTTTGCACTGAAGCTCAAAGTAATGTAAAAGGCTGCCACTTGCATTGGAGGGGTAAAACAGGTATAATTTTCCAACTTTTGCTGACCAAGTCTAGTTGCTTTCCAGGAAAGTGGAATATATTAAAAAGACAATCTGCTTGTACGGTTCCTGATGTCATTTGTTGTTCTGGGAAGCCTTGTGTCTTCCCAAACTCAATATAGAACTTTTCCCTGAAATGCAGATGAAAAAGCAGAGGTGCTGTTCAAAGTAAAATACAAGTTCAGCAGGTAAATTATGAGATCTTTCTCCTTTGGCTTGTCTCATAAGCTGCACTCCATCAGGGTGGTATCACTGAATCACAGAATTGCACAGACGCTCAGGAGCATTGACCCAGGGCTGTCAACTCCACCACTAAACCCCGTCCCTAAGTGACACATCCACAGGTCCTTTAAGTATCTCCGTGGCTGGTGACTCAACATCTTCCCTGAGCAGCCTGTTCCAAAGCTAAGAACACTTTCTGGGAAGAGATTTTTCCTAATATCCAATCTAAACCTCCCCTGACACAACTTGAGGCCATTTCCTCTCAAACCCTTGCTTATTATTTGGGAGAAGAGACTGACCCTCACCTGTCTACACCCTCCTTTCAGGTATTGTAGAGGGTGGTTAAGGTTCTCTCTGAGCCTCCTTTCTCAAGCCAAACAGCCCCACCTCCCTCAGCTGCTCCTCATCAGACTTTTGCCTCACTCCCTTACCAGGTTTCTCACTGCTCAGCAAAGTCTGCTGCCTCACTGGAACCCAGGTGAAAGGTGGGGTGAGATGAGATGAGGTGAGATGTGATGAGAATACTTCCTACATTGGTAAAGCCCTTGGGCCATTATCCATTGTTGCTTTTTCATGCAGGAAGTGATGAAGCTGCAATAAGGAGTCTAAGAGCAAACACAAGAGACTTCAGAATCTTGGCCCAAAACAACGTCCAGTGTTCCAAATGAAATCTCACAGGTTTTAATTGCAATGGAATAACTGATCCTCCTGCCCATTAATACTTTCCAGAATGAGATCTTTTTTTCTTTTCTGCAGTAGAATTCTGCTGCCTGTTGCTGGGAATCTACATCTGGGAGTTACTTGCAATAAATCAGATATAAAGTACACCTTAGAAGAGCGTGGAAAAGGAAGGCAGTTTTGTTAGGGGCTTACACAACCCCACTGACAGTCACCACAAAAGAAAAGGTACAGTAAGACAAGCCCAAGAAATTATGGAGGAGGATAAATAGCCAGACTATAGGAAAAGGAAGACAGCAGGGATTTTCTGGATTAGACACCAGTGCTTTGAACCACAGATATGAGGAGATTAATTCAATTTTCCTATGAAACAAAGATGTAGAAATAATAAAACAAGGAAAGAAACGTAGAAGCATCAACATAAGGAGAAAAGCCTCACTACAAGAATTCTCTGTGGAAAATTCCCTATCTCACTCAGTATTTATAGCATGAAAATTTTAATTTTAAAGTGTTTTGATAAAAGTTTATGTAAGGGTAAAACTTTGTGATGCAATTTGATTTTCTTTCTAGATTCTTCATGAAATTTTTACCCAGTTCTCTAAGCTGCCTCATACACAGAAGAACTGTCTGACCTTCAGGTTTTCCAGTACACCCAGTCATGACCTGCATGGAGGAAGGGACTGCACCTGGGGACTACCTGGGCAAGGCCAGACTCTTTTCTGGTAGCAACAAAAGTGGTAAGCACCAGACAAAACGATCAGTCATGGTCAGCAAGTGCAGCTAAGAAATGGGAAGGCAGATTTGACCTTTACCACATCTTTGCTCTCCCAAATGTCAGAGCAGTTAAAGAATTGCTCTTGTTTCATCAGACAGGACATTAATCTCTGCCTGGTCTTTTCAGCTTGTTGTGTCCCTTTTACTGATATAACAGTTTTGTGGGTCTGGTGAAAAGCCCCATCACAACACATTCTTCATGGATTTTTATAATTTTTTGAACGAATGATGAAAAGAAATACTACAATGCAGCAAAAAACTGATTCAGTAATTTTGGTGTTCAGTACAGCTTCAGAGAATGGCTTCTCTCTAGGATCTAACTCATGGTATCAAAGGGGGTCTGAGACCTTCTCCTTCTTCTGTCAGTGCTGGGAGCTCCTCTCTCAAACTGAAAATCCTATTTAAGTGTTAAAGCTTGTGGTGATTGTAGGGGAGGTTTGTGGGGAGGTCTCACCTTCCCCACAAACCAAGCAAAACCTGGATAATGATGACTGCCCTCAGAAATTAATATTTTCTTAATACTTAGTTTTAAACTATTACTCCTAGACTTATCACAACGTGCCCCATTAAAATGTTTGTTCTGAAAAACATTATTGAGTTGCCCCTCAGTATTCTTATTTCATATCCTCAAAAGCTTTTGCCAGCCTTGCTATTTTTTCACATCTCTCTAATTAGTGTTTGTATTTAAGTCTACATCAGTAGCTGCACATAGTCATCTGTTCATAAATAGACATAAATAAATATAAATAATTTATTCTTGACTTTTTCCTCTGGTGCTAGTTGCACATTTACTAAAAATTCACTCTCTTCCATCATTGAAGTCTTTAATGAAGACATATCAGTAACTGTGGATTCAGCATCTCCATTCAAACTAATACTTTTGGGAGTGATTTTCCAATCTGTCTTCCACCTGTCATCTCTTGCTCATTGTGTACATCTGAAAAAGTCACATCAGGCCTTACCAAAACCAGTTTAAGTCATAAAGTACCATTATGTCACTTCCTCTGTATCTGCTCATCCATTACTTCTTAAGGAAGGTGAATAAATTGTTTTAATGGGATGTCACAGACTTCTGGATCCCAAAATTTATCAGTCTGAGAACCTGATCAAGCTTCATGAGTGAGAATTATACCAGGCTTTTAAAAGAAGACATAATCTATCAGATTTAAAAGCATTAGCCAATCTCTCTCTCTCATAGGATTAAAACACTTTTCCATGACCACAGTGATTGCCTATGAGGTTAATGGGACCATCTTTATCAAAAATGACAACCATGAGACAGAAAACACCCCCATGGAGGACCTATGGGTCTGTTTTTTCCTGAGGTGCAGATAGGATGTGAAAGAGAGCCTTCAAAATACTTTTCAGAGTACATTTTTCAATCTGCTTTCATGGGTTTGTTCACATTCCAAACAAAAATTCCTAGAGAGTTACTTGGAATACAGACAGATATGTTTAATCCCTTCACCTCTTCACCTGGAGAAAGCATTACACTAACAACAAAAAAAAAAAAAACCAAAAAAAAAAAAAAAAAAAAAAAAAAACCAAAAAAACCCAACAACAACAAAAAAATTGAGAGTCTTTGTTGCATTGACAACAGGCACGTGGCAGAACAGGTGCTTTCATTTGCAGACTCAAAGTTGTTTATCCAGTACTCCTAGATAACAGCTTTTTACAACACTCAGGGCTGTGTCCTGCTTTGGGCTCCAAATTACAAGAAAAAAGTGGCTGAGCTGGGCATTTTTCAGAGATTTGGATGAATGCTCAAAAGTCAGGAAAACATAACTTAAGAAAACATATTGAAAGGAATGGATTGTTTAGCCTAGCAAAGAGGAAATTGAGGGTGGACATGGCAGAAGTCCTGAAATATGTAGGAGTTGCTGAAAGGAGAAAGGCAGTAGATTTTCCTGCATACCCATCTGGGTTAGGTCAACAAGCAGTGGGTTTCAGCTGTCTTTAGGGAGATAAACTGGTTTACTGAGAGTAAAACCAGAAAGAAATACTAATGAAATATTTATTCTTGAAAATATAGGTTGAGGGTGGGTTGGGGTTAGAATTTGAAAAAGCACTGCTAGGACAGGTTTGTATGGAGGAGAAACATGGAGTAGGTGGGAGTCTCTGAAAGCCCATTAAACCCTGTTTTCTGTGTTTCACCACACAGCTGTGGCTCCCTGGCTATAGCTTCATCCCTTTATTGACTGCAGTGGCAACCATCACATTGTTTGTCAGTTTAGCTATTGCAGAGACAGCAGTGGTGGTACCAGTGAGTCAGCTCTGGATGGGCTTCCAGCCACATCCTTTTTGAAGTCAGGGCCCATTTTCTCCATTTCACTTAAATAGTTGGGAAGAATTGGTAGTTACCTACTTTAGCATGCAGTAAGACTGAAAGATTTCAGCAAGCTGAAAGATTTCAGGGCACATTTGTATTTGAAGCAACCTGAGTCCAACAGCTTCCAGTTTTAGAAGGTTTGATTTCTTTACTGTTGAGCAAACTCACTTTAACACACATACCTAAATGCTCAAGGACTATAAGATCATCTCACTTGACCATTCTTATCTAATCTTTCCTTCTCCTGCTGAGACAAATCAAATCTGTTTGCTGAGATACACTCAGCCTTTTTCCTTTGGTTCTAGGGAAGGAGAGCAGCACTTATTTTAGCATGACCTAAAAAGAATTTTTCCAGAATAAAATTGTTAAGAACATAAACTTGGTCTGTTCAGCCTCCAAAAGAGGAGACTGAGGGGAGACCCCACTGGAGTTACAACTTCCTCATGGAGGGAAGAGGAGAGGCAGGCACTGATCTTTGCTCTGTGGTGACCAGTGAGTGACAGGACCCAAGGGAATGGCCTGAAGTTGTGTCGGGGAAGGTTTAGGTTGGATATTTGGAAAAGATTCTTCCCCCAGAGGGTGGCTGGGCACTGGAACAGGCTCCCCAGAGAAGGGGTCACAGCCCAGAGCCTGACAGAGATCAGGAGTGTTTGGACAGTGCTCTCAGGGTGCAATTTGGGAATGTTGGGAATGGTGCTGGGCTGGGCCAGGAGTTGGACTCGATGATCCTGTGGGTCCCTGTCTACTCAGCAGATCCCGTGATTCTGTGATTAGCAGTAGCAGTCCTTAAAAAGGAAAGTTGAACCAGGAATGGAGTTTTAGTGTCTTTTCTTTAGGGGATTGTGAATCTTTTCACGTCAGCAATATGCCTTGCTTTGTCATATTTGTCTTCCTTGAGCTTCACAGGGTTGTTTTCATTAACGAATCCAGAGTGGAAAGAGAGCTGCCGTATTAATCAATGGCTGAAGGAAATAAATCTCTGCTCTTTCCTGCAAATGTGCTGCTGCCTGATGTGTTTTCCTTGGGAAAGTTTTATTCCTGACAGAAGCCAGCCATCTGCTGGAGTGCTGCTGCAATAACCCTTTCTAGGGCTGCAGGACACAGCCACTTGCTGATGTTTGAAAAACTAAAAACCCCAATTTTTTCTTCAAACTTCATGAAAAATAAGCATCTTGGTAAATAAATGGGAAACTATGCAGAAATACCTTAAAATAGACCATTAGAGAGATGCTAAATGCTGATGGAGGTGGAAACCCTATGATGAGGAAATGGAGCACAAAATGTTAAGCACAGATACAGCATCTATCTATGTGCTGAAAACCTGAACAATGATACCAGAGTGATGAGCAGATCTTCGAAGGAGAAGGACTGGAACATCACCCTGGAATGGAGCCCACCAAGAGGAGCCAGCCACAGACATTCTGCCCACAGAAAGACCAGCCACCTGAACAGTTTGTTTGCCTAAAAGAATACAGGATTTAACATGGGAAGAGCATTTTAAGATTTTGTAAAATTTGGGATGTAAGACTAAGCCTTTAAGGGGACTCTGTAAATGTGCAAAACTAATTATGGGGTGATTAGGGGAAGAATTGAAAGTAGGGAAAGGGAGGTACTAAGTTGAAATAGGGAGAAAAAAGCCAGGAAATTAAGAAGAAAGGAGCTGGATATGTGTTACCTTGTTACTGGTGAGTGGACAGTGCTTGATCACTACAATCTGTCCTACATCTTCATGAAATCTTATTTCCAGCTGTCATCTCTATTCCAAATTCAAGTCTCAGTCCCAGTGAGCTTGCAGGTGACTGGGATGAGAGATCTGGGTGCCAGCACCTGAAGAACACTGAGGTTCAGAGGCTGCTTATTGAGTAGGAAGGAGGTTACAGAGCAGCTGCTGGTAAAATCCACATTGTGGATGTGTATTTCAGTAGCAGCCTTCAATCCTGGTCAGCTAGAGGGGAGGAGACGATTGAGCCATCTTTGTTCATGTTTCTATGCTGGGTGTGTTTGTCAGGATGTTGACCAAAAAAAAAAAAAAAATCTCCTTCTGTATTGATTTGTGTGTCTGGGCACGTGTGGAGCCTGTAGTGTCTGTGTGTGTCTAACTAAGACCAGCAGGGAAATTATCAAAGTAAAAATCACCCAAATGACTTCACTGCATATATTCAGTTTGCAAAAGTGACTGGAGGAAGAGGGAAGGCAGGTGGAACAAACTGTTCACCACGTTTTGCTTGGAAACCAGGACTGTGTTTTTATCCTTTTCCTGATGGAATCTGTAGTTCCTGGTCCCATGCCTGTCTTTGCAACTTGCCACCGCAGTCAGATGGAGAAGGGATCATTTTATCTCATCCCTGAACACTCTGCTCTTTGCCCCTTAAAGCTGATTGTTTAGTAATGGTGCAGGAAGTCATATCTCAGAAGCAAAAGGCTGAATATACTGCTTCAAGGCAGAGCTGATTAACATCTTTCCTTGGGCAGAGAGGTGTATCCCGTTAGCTAATGGGGCTGAAATAATAATGACTTGCTTAATAGTCTCTGGCAGTAACCTGCTGCAGCACTGCTTAGAAATGACAGCTTGATGATAGGACAAACTGGTTGATTTACCAAGTGAATTACCTCTGGAAGTGCACCCAGACCTCAAACTGTGATTTTTAACTTAACACCAAAGTTTATTTCCCACCCACACAACACTGGCTTGCTTACATTTTCATTACCTTCCACTGACAGGTCTCTAAAATGAAAAAAAAAAAAAAAAAGAGCGAGCAGAGGAAACGTGATGATGGAAAAGCATTAATTGAATTAGAGGCATGAAAATGCATGCTCACTATCAAGAGGAAAAACAAAAAAATCTTCCACACCTCTTCCATGCAAGCTCTAATGGTGGATTTGGCACATCTGGGTTGGTGTTTTGTTGGATTATCTTCATGGTCTTTTCCAACCTAAATGGCTTTGTGATTCTGTGATTTTCTGACTAGGCCATGGATTATCTCTGGAATTAGTATCTAGGGAAGAGTGTCAGGAAAGACCCTTGGGTGGAGAGGTGCTGTTTGAATATTTGTGTCTTTATTTCTTTGAAACTGTTTGAATATTTGTTATTTGTTGTATCAGACTCTATTTTAATGTTTTGGTTTTGTTTTTTTTGTGTTTTTTTTCTCTTTCAAGTCTCTTTTGCCCTTGACAATAATTGGTAAGGGATTTTACTTTCCTTACTTCAATGGACAAAGTGGAAATGCAAATACAAGGGAAAAAGCCTGTCCCAAACTTTCATTTTCCAGCAAATTAACAACAAGAACATCACACTTCCTTTTCCACTAAGTACTCAATCATCTAGCAACTACTTTTCAGTAATTTGTCCCCGGAATTCTCATGCTAAATCTGCACCTACGTCTTAAAATATGAATCCTGGATAAAACAGCCACAAGCCAGATAAGTCAGCCAAGTCACCTGAAGCTGGCATTGTAGAGAGGATGTAGCTCACACAACCCAAGTGAATTTCACCTAGGACATAGTGGGGTTTGCTTTTCAGGTGTTTTTAGTGGCTCCAGTCTGAGCTGAGCTATCTCCCCCTGTGCATTTGACTAATCTCTAATATAAGGTGCAGCATTTTCAGAATAAATCCTGTCCAGGTGTCCATCAGGAGCTGGAGAAGTGTGACTGCAGGAGGCCTATATAAAAAGGTTACCTCAGAAGTTCAGTTAAGTCTGCTGATTGATTCCCATCCACTACAAAGCCACACAAAAAGTCTTGGTCACACCAAGGCCTCTTGTACTCTTTGCTCATCTCAAGTTTATTGAACTTCTTGGATCTTTTTTTGCTGTGAAAACATGGCTGATGCTTGCATGCTGTTTTCTGATCCTTACTGGCCAGGAACACTTAGAGGGTCTTTCATAGCTTCTGTCTCCCTATTCACCAAGAATTAGCAGGAAAAGAAATATGAGGAGTAAAAAGGCAGTGTGTTTTGTACCTCTAACAGCTCATTTGGGTTTGCTTCTGGGTTTAGCTGGCGGCTCCACACATCCTTTATTTTAACTGAGCCAATTTCATCTTCCACTGTTAAAATAAATTTCAGGAGATAGAAGTGTCAGAAAGCTGCCTGGGTAGAAGACAATGTATTCAAGGAGCATAGTTAGAAGTACTCCCTGCTAATGATTTTTGAGCACTGCTCCTTTTATTGACGTTCCTGCTGCAGTTGCCTGAAAGCATGTCGCCCCCAGGGCCTCAGTGAATATTCAGAGAAGCCATTATGTTTAAAATCCTGTCTCTCACACATCACACACTGAAAATTAAGGCAACCTGTTGGCACAAACATCCTGAGAGCATTAGCACACGGATCTCAAAGGCAAACACAGTGCCAGCTCATTCCTTAAGTTGCAAGGCTGTTTTCCAAGGGTTTAGTGTGCCCAGGTTACACCAGCAGGAGCAATCAGAGACAGTGCTTATTGTCTTCCAGCCCCACACTGATAAATCTCAATTTAGTATAGCAGGTTTTCCCCTACTTCTTCTAATTGCTAAGCTCTTCTGGAAAGAGTGTTTTGTCTACTCAAACTCAAAGCCAGGCACTACCAGCAGGATCACAGACTCCAGAGTGGGATCCTGCTCCCTGAGATTCACCCCAGAGAAGCGCATGGACCTAATCTGGTGCAGTCTCTGATTCATTATTAGTGGGCCTGACTCAGGCTCCTCCAGACTGGCATGAACTGCAAGATGGAGACTTTGGGATTTTAAAAACTTCTAGTTTTTACAATTTGAAGAGACAGGAAAGTTTACAGCAAGCACTAATGACAGTCAGAATGAAGACTGTCTCTGGAGTTCTTCTTGGGTTTGTGTTTCTGTTGTCATTTCTTGTAAGTCTCTACAAAATCCATATGGCAATCCGTGAAAATGTAAAGGCAATTGCAAAGAAAATCTAATCATAAGCAATAATAAATATTTAAGAAAATAACTTTTTTTTTTTTTTTTTTTTTTTTTTTTGGTAACAAAAGTGTGCTGTTCCAGGTCCTCACCTCTAAAAGCTTTCCTGAATCTCTTTTCTGTTGTTTTCCTTCCACCCAGGACTGAGTTATCCTGCTACTGACTGAAAGGAGAAAGAACTGCAAGTAAATGCCCAGGCAGTGTCTTCAGCGACATTTCCACACGTCCTAGGGGACAGCCAAGACATTTGGCTATTTCATAGTGAGTCCATCTGTTACAAGTCATGACTGGGATCCAGTTATCTCTGGGCTCTCCTCTTCACATTTCCAGTAAGGGACCATGTCTGGCTCTAGAGGTCAATTAATTAATCAATTAATTAATTTTATTCTCATCCTAGGAAGTGTTATCCTGCTGTTCTGAGAAGCCTGTAAGACTCTGTAGGGGTGGACGGTACTGTTTATGAAATATGTACTATTGTGATTGTGACATTAGCCTGTAACTTTTGCTCATGACTGATTTGGAAGGGACCTCACTATGCCACTCTTCTGTGTTGTGCCCACTACCTCTTTATTTTACATTGAGGCTAAAAGTCTTTGGAGTGAAGATCATCTTTGTGTCCTGCTTTTCCACAGACTAGGGGAAGGGGATAGAAACTGATTTTGCATTACACAAATGAAATCACCCACTGGATTCCTGAGTTGCAGAAACATTGGAAGCAAAAACAAAGGAATATGCAACCAAAGACGTTTTTTCTTGGAAAAACCTACTGAACAGAGACATGTATATGAATCCCTTAAGCACATTTATTCCTTTATTAAATTCATTTGCATAAGATTGGTCCCCCCTCATTACTAAGTTGGTACATTTTTTTCCTATATACTCAATATTTGAGAACTTGTTTATGGATCAATTAAATCTCAGCTCCACTGTTTGCCTCATCCACTGTTCAAACACTCTGGTTTGAAGTTCCTGAGTCATTTTCCAATGTCAGTCCGAAGCAACTGAATTGACTCAAGTGACTGATATTCCATGTACAGCATTTAACTGGGAGCAAAGCTTGGTTTCCCTTCCATGATGGTGTGGCCAAAGTTATGTTCAAAAAAAAAAAAAATTCCCTCTTTTGCCCTAATCTTGCCTTTTTCAGCAAGATTCATCTGAAATTGCATTTGCCATCCCAATGTTATTTTATGCGTGCAGAGCGCTGCTTTTTAATTTCTCACTTTACACACTAGCAAGCATTAGGTAACATTGAATCACACCCATTTTACCAGAAAAGGGAAATACTTTGGGAGCATCCAGTTCTCAAGTTTGTATAGGTACCAGAGTTCCCCTGGTGCTCCCACACTGATCCAGTTTGATTTTATGGAAAATATGACTTTCACCACATTTCACACTGAATAGATTTAAGACCACAGCCAAGCAGAAGAATGAAGAGATCCAGAGCAGAGAGTGGAGCACCCAACACTGGACAGGCATTTCTAAAGCAAAGCCACCATAATTTTTCAGAAGTCTGAGGGTGGAGCCCAGGTGTTTGAAGTATTTGTGTTGTGTCACAGAGCCCACTGTGACCCTTGGCACTTGGATACAGTAGTTTACTGCCTTTAGAGTATAATTTAGATACACTTCAGCATGACAGAAGCCCAGCAAGTGCCCAGAATAAACGTGTGCTTCCCTGTCCTTGTCTCCTTCATGCTGAATCAAGCACCACTGTAACAACTCACTAAATCAAGCCTGCTGCAGATCCCAGTTGAATACTCATCTTTTGGCGGAATTTTCAATGTTAAATTTACTGTTCCAGATCACTGTGCTGCTGTTTGAGAAGCAGTGCCAGCATAAGAGGCTGGTGGGGAGGTCTAAGCAGTGCAAAGAGCCAGGGAAGAATGCATTTATACTGAAGAGCAGCAAGAGTTAAAATGCTGAACCCAATTCCTACATGAATTTATCAAAATTCAGCTTCTGCTAAATTATTTATATATTTTCTTTTTTTCCCTTCTTCCCAAAGAACCTTTTACAAACTACAGTTCAAACTTCTTGCCTGTCTCATGGATGGTAAGTTTCCCAGAATTCAGATTAGCCCTCTGACACTTTTCCAGTAAGTGAAGATGATCTTTGAAGCAGGGGACACAGAGCATAAAATTCCGTGTAAAGCTGGATACTGAGTCGTGGAGATACCATTTCCTCAATGACCTTCCTGTGCTGGAGATGGAAAAGTTTTTAATCCCTTTTCCCAATCAGAAGTCTTCTACCTGTGCATCCAACAACAATTTTTCATTGCAGCCATAGGAAAAAGTTGGGACCTGTAAGTTCTTTTTAGTCTCATTAGTTCACATTTTTTAAAGCATCATTTCTTCCTTAAAAAATTAGTTTAAATCATTTACTTGCATTAAAAGAGCTCAGTAAAAGAGTAGAGGAATAGAAAGTAATTCTGACACCTGTAGTGCAGATTGAGTTTATTAGTTAAATTATTATTTTTCCTCACTGCCCAGACATCACAAGGAGGACATATCTATCACTTTTTTTTTTTTTTTTTTTTTCCTGGCTTAATATCTCATTTTAATTCCAAGTTATGTGTTCAACTACTACAAAAATCCTTATTCATCTTGAATTATCTGGCCTGCATAGTTGTGAGCCCTTGTTCCCCAGGTATTCTCAGCATGGAAAATTGACAGATAAAGGTGGTGGCAAGTCACAGGGTGACTGATTTGTATAAATACAGCTACTGCTGCTGTGACAAGCCTGGGCAGAGTTTCAGTCCTGGCAACGTCTGTGTTCTCTTCAGCAAGAAACACTCGAGAACAAATTCCAAAATAATGGCTTGTGGGTTTTCTCTTACTAAGAGAACAATCAGAAAACAAATAATCCAAAAAAAGTTTCATATTTTCTGGTATTGTTGAAATGCAGAATACTTAAATATTTTTCAATCCCTCGTCTGCTCTGTCTTTGACTGTCTTCATCATGTACATAGTAGAAAGAATTAGAGGCAAAAAAATGGCTCCCCTCTTTTCTATACCAAAAGATTTTTATTCTTTTTTCATTTCCCACCAACACCACTATGTTTAAAGGCTGAGTTCTGCTGCTTCTACCCACCTTCTGTTTTTCTAGACATCCATGTATTTTTACCAACCCCTGAGGTTTTATGGCAAGTCTCGCCACTGGTTTTTTTAAGTCCCAGGTTCTAAGATCATTTGACCACCTTTAATAAAAACAAATCAAGCAACCAAAGATGTGGACTATCATTGAACATTCTTATTCTTGCTGTAAAAATAATGCATAAAACAATTTTTATTGCATTTTAATCTTATTAATAATATTTACACCATGATAGAATCTCTGCCAAATTGTCATAATACCTGTCTTAAACCCCATGAAATAGGTTTTACTCCCTTAAAAAATTCTAAGGGGGACTAAGCTGAGACTGCATATGCTTGGTTTATTCCATATTTCACATAAACCCAAAGTTCTATCTTTAAAAGATGACTAAGATCTTAAAAAGTGACCAAAGGTGAAACAGTAAAAAAGGAAGCACAAAAGAATATAGGGATGAACTGTTCCTCCATTTACCAAGAAATTGTGAAACAACAAACAAAAATCTGAAGAAACCAAAGGAAAGCAGCATCAGATGCTGCCTTGTGAAGAATTCAATGAGTATCTTGGCATGAGCTGTAGGACAAGGAAGAAGAATCAGTGCAAACTGAAAAGCTGCATTTATTGTACCTTTTTGCACTACGTGGCTTAGTTAGTAGCCCTGCAAGTGGACAACTGAAAAGATCGATCATAAAATATAAGAATATTGAGATTGAAGGACATTACTGATCATCCAGTCCTTGTGTGTGAATGAAGGATTAATTCATCTGAAAACATCCTTGGCAGGTGTTTGCCTTATGCATTATTTAAAATTTCAGTGACGGAGATTCCCATCTTGGTAAACAATATTCTTCAGTGTTTGTTGTCCTTAAAAGTTTTTCTCTTTTTCTGACTTGAATGTCTCTTGCTAAACTTACACTAATTATTTTTTGTTCTGCCAACAGTAATATAAAGAACATTTTATTCTTGTCTTTTGGAAACAAACTTGCCACAGCTGTGAATGCAAGGGCAGTATTCTCAGGAGAAAAAAAGCCCCAGACACAGTATTTTCTAGGTTCCTGTTTTCCTCTTGATCACTCCACCCAGTCCACATCCAGATTTTTTCTGCATGGTCCATGTGTCTTGAAAAGTTATACTCCATGCTGGGCTCAGGATATCTGAGGCCCTTCTAGTGTTGGGCAGAGTAGAAAGTTATTTTCCCTGAGCCACTTGTTCGAGCATCTCAGAAATGACAGAGTTATTCACCAGTATCACCTTATTTTTATTTGGTGGATTACTAATGCCCTCTTTTGAAGACTTCTATCTAAGCACTCAGTCTAAAACATCTTCCTGGGTATCTGTGCTGTGACATTCAGTCATCATCCACCTGGATGATGTCTCCCAAAGCCATCCTTCGAATAGACTGCCTCCTCACAAGAGAGGCTTCATCCATTTCCCTTTGCTTTGCTCCTCGTTCCTTCTGCTTTTTAGACACATTTTCAATGAGCTTGCTGGCATCACTGAGGGTTTTTTGTGTCCGCTCACCTGCACTTTTCTTTGTGCCTTCTCCCACACTTGCATCCGTGGCTTTTAAGGGTTTGGCTTTCCCAGTTTCTTCCTGCTGCTCTTTTGTGTGTCTTAACCTGAATCGGCGCCGAGAACCATTTTGGCAGGGGTCGGGGGTGCTGTCAGGGCTGTTGGACTCTCCGTGCACGTCAGACACCTGGAGAGTGGGGATTAAGGGCTTACAGAGTGTCTTGGGAGCCTCCTCAGCACCTGCCTGTTTAGTCGACTTAGAGGTTGTCTCTGAAGGCAAAATAATTTGGATTTCTCCAAGGGGTTTGCTGCTTTTAGGGGGTAGGGGATCATCTTTGTTCTCCAGATCAGCCTTCTCATTCAGCTTTATCTTTTGGAGGTTTGCCAGCTCCCCCTGAGCCAGGTTCTTTACCCGTTTCACATGGGGTTCATTCTGCATGGCGTTGATCACCATCAGCTTCTGGGCAGCCATTTGGGCTTCTCTCTGGATGCTCATAATCTTTTTGAGCTGGGCTTCTTTTACTTCCACAGGGATCTCCAGAGGGGCCAATTTCACTGGTCTCTTCAGGGTAACGTTCTCTGTGCTACACAACTCATTTGCAGGATGCAGGCTGGGAGACAAAACTCCCTCCTTTTTCACCTTTTCTGGACATAATTTTTTATCTCCCTGGCATAGCTTCTCTGAACTCCTTGGAGGTGGAGGCTGGAGACCAAGGTTTTTATGATCACTTCCTGGCTTCCCTCCCGCCAGGAGGAGAACTGAATTTTTCTCAGGCTGCAGGTTCACAATTGTGACTTCACTGACAGTGCAGTTATACTTGGGCTTTTCTTCAGCCATTGGAGCACTCTGAAAGAAAAGAAAATAGATATGGAGATCACTCTCCTACATTGTATTAATCCTCAGTTAGGTTTTTATGCAATGTTTGGAAGTTTGAAAAGAGTGAAAACTTGGTGTCTCTTGAAGTGTACTCCTGTTAACCTTAAATCCTAATCACTGTGCTCTTAAACTGCCTCGCCCCAGGGTAATCCAAAATAAAGCGCAAATTTAGTCTCCATATCTAGAGAATAAATTAATCTGACAGCTGAGGAATCAGGGCTTGTCTCCTCCATATCTGTAACCAGTGCAACTTAAACATCTCCAACCCTCTTCCTACTCTGTCCTAGATATTGACTCCTTTCTAAGCAGTGAGCAGTGTACACTGCACTCACTAATTTAATAGAAGTTTAGGATCTCTATAAAACATGGAAAATACCAGAGAATAAATGTTAATTTGGGGAAGCTGCTAGCTGAGGTTCAGGCATGGATCCTTCTCTTTTCCTTTGATATTCTGTGATCTGGATTTTTGCATATACTGACATGTGCTTTATAGGGTAGAGTAAGTTCCTTTATTTCCACCAAAGTTCTGCCTACTTTCACAAGGTATTTTACATAAAGAAGAGACCAACAAACCAATAATAATTTTACTTGTGTTAATGGAAAATACCCTGAAATGAGCCAAGAAGTTATTCAGAATACTGTGGATATTGTTCCGTTTCAAAAATACTGTGTCTGGGGTATTAACTAAAGACTCTGCTAAATGGCAGATGAGGCAAACCTGGAGTTATTTATTTGCCCTTGTTCAAAGAAATTTTATGGCTTGGCTGGGAAATAATATTAGAATCAATAACCAATGATCACTATCATCAATAATATAAGAATCTCATGGTACACAGGTCTTTGCTGTTCAACTCTCTAGTACTGCATGGGCAGTGACAGGCCCATAGGCAGCATCAGGAGATGGGGTCTGCTCTTGCTTCTGCCCAGACCAGGAAGTCCTCTTCCCTAAGGTAATTTTTCATTCCCACTCTGGTCTTTGTACACACTATAGGTTTTATGGGAGAGACAAAAATAATATTCTTGGCTATATCTCAGTATCTCAGATTTCTAGCTCTTATTATCACAAAGATATGTTATTAAATTATAGTATTAACCTGGTTTTCCTCTGGCAAATAAAGAACATGAGCTCCTTTCATCTCATCTAATTAAATCTGTTTTGCTAATTCCTGTTCACTGTTATTGGTGGGATTTTTTTTTAAGTGTCCAAGCTTAGTATCACTGTAAATAAAAATGATACTCATCTCGCCCTTTCAGTTTCTTTCTGTTTTTCAGGAAAACATGTAAGCCTGCCCATGGCTCTGTAAATGTGAAGTGAAATAAAATAACCATAAATAGGCTCTTGTACTAAAATGCAGGCATATAAAGCAATGGGACAGAATTAAAGCTCTAATGCAAATGGAGATATGGGAGTGGAAAGGAAGAAATGGCAAACAATGTAGTATCAATGCATTATCATTTTGGAAAATATTTTGATTAAAAAGATTTTTACTTGCCTTTAAAAATCTAGTGGTTGACTAAATACCAGCCACCTAGCCCAACCTGCCTAGATAATGTATCTTTCTACCCAGGACCATTTTTTGTTTTCATGCTGGTTTCAGACAATAGTGACCAAGTGATTGGTTCATTCTCTGCTGCACTCTTCTGAGGACAATTCAGACATGTTAAGAAGGCTTGGAGAAATCTTATACACTACCTAAATCTGATTGGAGTTCTAATGTTAATACACTTAAACCCCATCCAAGGCTCATGTGCAAGATAAGCTGCATCCTCTGTTCCCATGCACACATTACTCAGTACCTTCCAGAAATATCCATCTGCTATATATATACTCCCACTAAAAATTTAATTAAATAATTGGCCCAGTCTTGTGTAGGCAATTGCTCTGTGCCCAAAACTCCCTTTGTAGTCAATGAGAGATCCATATGAAGAATGACTACTTCAGGTCCTCTGGATCAAAGTACCATGATAGTGATATTATCAAAGGGACCACCATCCTTTATTTAGATACCACAGCCTTCATGTAATTTAAACACTTTCCTTCTTGGTCTCAGCTTGCTGATCCTTCTGCTATAAACTGCACAGTAATGGGACACCAGAAATAGAAGTACATTGCCACTATTTAACTAAATTTACAATATGCCGAGTGGTAAATTGGCATGTAGTGGTTTCAGATCTAGAAAACTTGGTGTGTCCCCTTTAAACAGGTATCTGATGTCCCTCTAAAGCCATCTTAGTATCCAGACTTACATCCCTAGAGATAGGTGCTTCTACTATTTGTAACTCATTTTGATTTCAGGGGTCTGCTCACTGCAGAACAATAAACATTTGATTATAGGCTAAAAGTGAGATTTGGAAGAGTCTTACAGAAACCTTTGCACATCAGCTTGAGGACTGGATGAAGAGAAGGGATTGATCTGAGGTTCCTTTCCAGTATTGGTCCTCACCTGTGCTGTTCTACATCTGATGAAATCAGACAGATACAAAGCAGTCTCAGGCACCCTGAGGTGTCCTGTTGGCAGCACCTGGCAAAAACTGGCAACCAAAGGGAGTCAAGCACACAGCATGAGTTTAGACAACCTGACAACCAGCTGGATTTCAGCCATGAAGTCAATCTGTCAGCAGGGAAAAGAGGCAGGTTGTTGTGCTATCACAAAGCTCTGCAGGGCTTGAGATCCAAACCACAGTTTTATGCACGTCACTTCCCCATATGGCTCCAAAATACTTCACCAACTCAGTCCTGTCATGGATATACCTGCCAGGAGGTAATATTTGGTTGGTAGCATACATGTTTATGCTACATGTTTATAGATACATCATGATTGAAGGGAATCCTTTAAAAATCTGAAAGTGTTCAAGATCAGGTTGGACAGAGCTTTGAGAAATCTGGTCTAGCAAAGTTGTCCTTACCCATGGCAGGGGGGTTGGAATTATTTTATATTGAAGGTCACTTCCAACCCAAACCATTCTATGAATCTATGATCTTCACTTCCTTTAAAAATCCCTCTTTTCTTAGTCACCCTCATGAGGTTTCCTCTCCTTGCTCAATGAAACCAAATTTGTAGTGCATTTCAGAAGAGTTAAAAAAAAAAAAAAGCAAGCACGTGCATGGGCACACACACAAAACCACCACTCTAAATCCCAAACTCTTCCTACATAACAAAAAGCTTTAATCTCATTGCTACAGGATAATCTGTAGTGATAAGCAGATGTTACACAACTCTGATGCTTTTCCTTCCCATCATCACATGTATCAACTGATTGCTGCAGTTCAAATGGGAGGACAGAAATGCCTAAGAAAGGAAGTTCACAGATCAAATCCTCCAGCTTATCTGGCTGAAAGCTTCTCCCAGAGTGGATTTTATTTTAGTTCAGTTCCAAAATAAACACCAAGCCTTCAGTGTGCTTTAATTCTCCACGTGATGCCTGAAGCTCTGCCACTGAAAACCCCTCTGGTATGTGGAGATCCATTACATATGCTGTCATTCTTCAGGGGAGAGAAACAATTCAGTTTAAACATCTAGAGATGAATGGCTTTGCTTCCACTGCAGATTGTGTATGTACAGTAAATAGCTCAGGTCATCATGAATGAACAACAGAGAAAACAGAGGCAGCACCTGAATAATTCCCAGAAAAGACTTAAATATGCAACCTTGCATTTTGTCAGATGGCATCATTATCACACCTGCAATGTCAGGGACTTAAATCATCATTTGCTGCTCTAGAAAAAATTTAGAATGTTATATTGTCTGTGAGCCAGTGAGTCTGAGGAGATCAGAGGGTCCATTGGGCTGAGAAAGATAAAACATGACCGTGTTCATAATCATCAGTACTGAGCACAGTACTGATGATTATGAACATCACACCTGGCTGTTTTGGATCCCAAAACAAACAGGTACCAAGGTGGACTGACTAAAGGGATTTCATACAAATAAATTCTTGCCGTGCTTCCTCAGTGCAGGATCCAGAGATAATATCTCATTCTGCCACAACTCCCTTTATACCACTGCTATCTTAAAACAGCAGTGGCAGCAAGAAGAGTTTCAAAACAAAACAAAGAAAAGACATTTGAGTTCTCTGAAAACCAGCTCATTATCAGGGAACTGGTTTCAAATCCCTTTTCCACCACAAACTGCTCATGAGATTGAAGGGAAGATGCTTTTCCCCTCTGTGACTGTGTTTTTCATCTGTAAATTTGTACTGACTCTCTCTCCTGAACCATAGGGCACTAGAGAGTATAAGCTACTCAGCAACAGGGGAAATGAAGTGATATTAGCTTCCAAAACAGGTTCAATTCCAGGTAATGTAATTTTCAGAAAACAAGTGCTCTGTGAAAGGTTGTACCTGTTGAGTAATCAAAGCCTGAAAAAAAAAAAATCTATGATTACTTGAAAATTATGTCAGGTACAAGTTTTCCTTGTAGAGGACTTGCTCTTACATTTTTGGTTTTATTTTGCAGATGAGTGAGATTTGGGACATAACCTAGCATTTTCATTCATTAACCTGAAAGTATGCTTTGTGAAAACATTTCAAATTTGTTCATAAAATTTGGTGGGTCTTAAGAGTAATTACCCAATTTTATACAATTTGGCATACTCTTATTCCCAATGTTATGATTACTTTAATAGCTCCTCTGTGAATTCATGAGACCAGTCTGAGTTCTAGAAAACCCACAGCAGATTGTCCCTTGCAGGCATACTCAATTTCCAAACCATGGAGTCTCCAGTTTTCCCATATGCCTCCCAAGCTTTACTGAGCATCCTCAGTCTTGGGAAGCTTCTTACTGGGATTTGTAATATTGCAGGAAAGAAGGGGAAGTGCAGAACTCCAGTCCTAATGACAAGCAAGTCACATAAACTAACTTTTCCAACTTCCACCTCTAAATAGGGACATTGTTCCTTATGTAGATTACAACAAAAATTTATAGAAAATAAGCAACTAGTATTAGATTTCTAAATTCAGATTTAAGATATAAATAAATTACCTGTTTTTCAACAGTAGCGCTGGATTTGACTCCTTAAATTCAACCAACTTATTGAAGGATCTAGACTGTAACTCAAAATTCCAGCTTCAGCCTCATTGTTAGAATAAGGAAATTGATTTCCCAAAGTTCTGAGCACCTCTGAATCCCTGCCATCTCAACAAGACTGTGTGAGAAGTAAGGGCCTGTACATACAGCTGGACCACTGCTGACCAGGGGGTGTGTGTCTGACATCACAGCACAAGCCTAAATCTTCTCACTACTGTGAGGGAAGAGAGGCAGAAATGAAAAATGCAGTATTTCCTGCTAACTATCAGCTCCAGCTTGTGTTACATACCCAGAAAGATCACAGCACGAGCAGAACCTGCAGAAAATAAGATTGAGCTCTTCCCATGCAGTATTTCTTCTTAATTTAGGGCTTGGAACTGTAAAATCCAGAGTGATGGAGCTATCTGCTGTGGTGGGAACACGTGCCTAGGAATTAATGTGGTGCCCTGCCCTATCCCTCTGATAACAGAGGCCAGCACCTTGGAGTCAGGGAGAGCAGCTCTGCCATCACTCAATCTGCCTGTTCTCTGGGTGCCACTCATCCATTGCACTCAGAAATACCCAGGGAGACAAGCACCTTTTCTCAGCCCTGCCAGGCAATATTTCATTCAGAACAGAAGAATGAGCATCCCTGTCTTCTGAAAAGGAGGTGTCAGCAATGCCATTATTTTTCTTAAAATACATGGACTAGAAAATTCACTTCTTTAGAGACCCTCAAGCCCACATATCCCATCTCTCTACAGAACTGGAGGCTCATTTCTCCTGCCAGAATTGTTCCTTTTCTTTGTTTTCTTTGGCCAATTAGGCCAAAAGTGAAGAAGTGGCATGACTGCATGGTCTGATAGTAAGGGCAGCTTTGGATGCACCCTTTGACAAGGGCAATTTAATACAATTGGCTTCACTGCCAAAATCTTCTAGAATGTCCAGTTATAAGGCTAAAATCTCCTCTCTCACTTTCTTACCCCTTGCTGCAACACGTTTTTTATCTTCACATCTCTAACAGAAGGATTGGAGGTTGTTTCTAGCCCAGGATTGTCTCATGTTTTCGCTAGGACTGGCTCCCAGTGGGTTTCTTCAGGTGTAGTTTCATCATCACTGTGAATCTCCTGTAGTAGGAAAGGCTTTGGGGAGGCATTTGGGAGCAGTTTGAAGGCTGTGAACAATGGACAGGAGCCAGCTCTGCCCTCTTCAGCTGTGAGAATCCAGTCTGAGCTGGGTGCCTGAGGCACCCTCTGCAGTGCTGGAGAGTGACCAGCTCTGTGACGGGCTCTGAAACAGCGACTGCAGACATCACCTCAGACTGGGGGGTCACTCATCTTCCAGGAGATCCTGTCCCACTGCAATGACTTTGTGCCTCCAGTGGCTAAAGGTAAAGGAGAGAAGCTCAGAGTGGAGCCAGCACAGCTCTGGAGCCTCCAAAGGAGACTCCAGCTCTTTAATGGCTGGGACAGGCCATTAAACCCTTTGTGATAATTTTCTTATCCACATTCTATGGCTATTACTCACTTCAGACTCTCAGTCCTAAAATACATTTTTCACAAGTTTCTATTAAACTGTGGGTAGCATATAGTGTTATACTAGTGTTGATATTAAAGCAGAATTACCTGCTAGTCCTGCTAATCCACTGATGCTTTGACAGCAGGGATCTTACAAATAGAGATTCTTCATGAAAAAATGATTAAATATGACCTGAAAGGCCTCAGCTTTCCAATTCCCTGAAAACTTACCTTTTCCTTGTTGAATGCTCTAGCATTTAAGGCCAGAAGAATCACCGACAGCCCATCCTCTGATCCACTAATGACATGGATGTTGAAGGATTTTGATGTCACTTTTTTTATCCTCAAGCCTATTATCCATCTCTTCTGCCTTTTGCTCTTTAAACAGAGGCTGCTTTAGAGGGATTGCAGTGGGCAGGCAGGGAATGTAGGAACTGTTCTACTTTTTGTATGGACTTAAGTCCACAGCCAGAGACAAGTCACTGAATATCTCTGAGCCTCACTATCAAGGGATGTCCCTTAGATATTCTGTAGGAATTGGGAGTCTGTTAAATCTGCTGCACTGCTCGAGAAAATCTCTATAACCTCTTTCAACTTAAATTTACCTCTGGCTTCAGCAGGACATGTTTGGTGTGTTCCACTCTGCCCAGTGGTCCCAAAGTGCTGCAGTGTTGCTCAGTTCCTGGGAAGGGCTACATCTCAATCACATGTGGATTCCTGCACCATTTGGAGACTGCTGTAGGACGTTCCAGATGGTATGCACAATTCATTTATCTATGTCATGAAAATTTAATTCATATGAAGGTGGTAAATTGTTTATGAATAAAATAGGCAGGACTAATACATAAGCATTCAGGGCTGAATCACACCAGGAAACAGGCACACACAGCTCACAGTGAACTCAGCTTTTTGGCTGTTACAACAACAATCAATTGAACAGATTTATTAAGTGCAGATACTCTGTATTTGGGTAGAATATGCCAACACAATAGCTGCTGCACTGTTAAAACAACCCACCCCTCCCCATAGTCATTTTAACTCAATCTTAAGAAGCCAGCAGTGATTGAAGA